ATATTTGAACCTTTGATTTTACTCCTCCATTGTTTAATGGTCAATTCTTTTAATGGCTGGTCAATAATTTATGGGAAAGTATCCCGTTTTATTCTGTGAACAGATGCCGACATATTAACATATTTAGCGATGTTAATCTTTATTTGTTTCTCCTCCGGCATAACTGAAATTTTCGTTATTCCAACAATAGTATGTTCTTTTGGGTCTTTGAATAGTCGAGGAAGCTTGAGAATCATTATTTGTGGAAATGATTTAAGATGACTGATAATTTTGTATCTCATTCTCATGAGATAGGTAAGGATTAATTTAGATTTGAAATAATTGGGTATAGTATATTAAATAAATATGGTTTTTATTAAAAGAAAATATTTTTAATTATAAACTTCAAATGCGGCATTCTTTAAAAGAAATGTTCGGTATTTGTAAAACATTAATTTAATGTTTAAGTATGACAAAAAAATATAATAAGATTATTTTATTTCAACATCTGGTAAAAAATGTCCCCCCTTTCATTGTAAAGATCATTCATTTAATATAATTGTTATCATAATTTATACATCTATATTCTAATTAATATTTACAGTGTTGTAATGATTTAATGAAACATATTAACGTCTAAATTAAAACCCATGCATATAAAAATATTTTGTTTGCAAAAATAATTAAAATATAGACAAAGCATTATTGAAAATTTTTTTATTCCTCCTTTTGTTATTTTAATTATTTTTGCAAAAAAATATTTTTATATGGATGAGTTTTAAATTAATCGTCAACATGTTTCATTAAATCATCACAACACTTAAATTTATATTGTATTCATATAATGTAAATTATTTTTTTAAACAGCTGTATTAACTTCAAAAGACTCATTTGATTATTAATATTATTACATTAAAAAAGAAATTGTAAAATGACCACTTTTTATTTATTCGTAAATTTGATGTTTAATTTATGTAAAAAAAATAAAATAATAGAAAAAGAAATATAGTTAAAATTTAATAGGGTATGGCCATCAGAGGCGATCTTAAATTCAAATAAAATATATAATAATTTAAATCAAGTAAATTTTCATAATTATATCTGGAGAAGTCATACTACAATGGAGAGTTATTTATTCTTTTTTATTCGACTTATGAAAATTTATATTTAAAATATTATTATTTCTTTTTCCTATATCTAACAACGAGCGACTTCTTAAATGAAAATCTCGATTAATATAAATATCATTTTTCTGTTTTAGTTTTTTTTTTAAAAATAAATTTTTTTTATTATCCGTCATTTTATCATTTTGGATATAAGTTTTAATCGCAATATTTTAAAAATAATTTTAAATGTACATTCAAACTCTCTATTTTAGGCACCTTTGTGGTCAAGAATTTTGCATAACTTATCAAAACTTTTTTTTAAAAAAAAAACATTTTATCTGTTATATTAGTTTAGCAAAAAGTGAGATTATGTTCAACCATTTTTAAACTATTTTTTTATTATTTATTAATGTAGCGATTTGATTTCTAGATACTATAATTTTATTTCTTTAAATCAAACTGTGGCGATTAAAATATTTTTTATTTCTTTATTAATCAATTCCAAAAACATATAATGTATCTCGAATATATAAAATTACATATCTTTTTATCTAGAACTACCAAAAAAAAATATCAAAAAAAATCAATGACCTCATTTTTTCTTTCTTTTCACATATAAACATACCAATATAATCAATATATTTCTTTAAAAAAATACAAAAATCAATATATTTATTTATTTACTACAACATGTACCCCCTTCTAAGGATAAACTCCAGGGTACATGCTAAAAAATGATTGCTAATCCATATAACTAAATTTATAAAAATTCACATCATTAAAAAAAAACACTCATGGCACTTGAGTATTAATGAGTAAATCCTCTAAGGAATCACTCATTTCAACTTCAGTCCCATTAGCATTAACACTTTTATTTACCGCAACATTCGAATTTCCTCCATGGGGAATTCCTTCCATTAACTGTGCAGCTAAATTCGAATTTCGTTCACTTGAGACTTCCTTCATTTTCTCGATCTCAGCAACCCTCCGAAATTTGAATAACTCTTGCCTTTCCGCAAACTCCTCCGCTTCTCTTGCAAACGATCTTGATTCCTCGAACACACTTCGGGGCTGCCCTCCTGCCCAACGATGGATTCCCTGATTGAAGGAACACAAATTGCTCGATACGAATAAATTCGTTAGAGATGGCCAATCCTTTATCAATGAAATGGCATGATGCCTGGATAGAACAGCAAACTGGAAAGGGAGCTCCACCGTTAATTTCGAATGGACGTCCTTACAAGGAAGAACCTCTCAACATGCAAATTTCATGACTGGTCCGGTGCATACGTCCTTGCAAGGAAGAACTTCTCAACATGCAAATTTCATGACTGGTCCGGTGGCCATACAAGCGAGACAGACCGGAATGAGGGGAGTAAATTTGAATTGTTTCAACTGTGGGGGAAGGGGGCACAAGGCCCGGGAGTGCGCTAGTGGATCGAGCAATTTGTGTTCCTTCAATCAGGGAATCCATCGTTGGGCAGGAGGGCAGCCCCGAAGTGTGTTCGAGGAATCAAGATCGTTTGCAAGAGAAGCGGAGGAGTTTGCAGAAAGGCAAGAGTTATTCAAATTTCGGAGGGCTGCTGAGATCGAGAAAATGAAGGAAGTCTCAATTGAACGAAATTCGAATTTAGCTGCACAGTTAGAAAAAATGGAAGGAATTCCCCATGGAGGAAATTCGAATGTTGCGGTAAATAAAAGTGTTAATGCTAATGGGACTGAAGTTGAAATGAGTGATTCCTTAGAGGATTTACTCATTAATACTCAAGTGCCATGAGTGTTTTTTTTTTAATGATGTGAATTTTTATAAATTTAGTTATATGGATTAGCAATCATTTTTTAGCATGTACCCTGGAGTTTATCCTTAGAAGGGGGTACATGTTGTAGTAAATAAATAAATATATTGATTTTTGTATTTTTTTAAAGAAATATATTGATTATATTGGTATGTTTATATGTGAAAAGAAAGAAAAAATGAGGTCATTGATTTTTTTTGATATTTTTTTTTGGTAGTTCGCGATAAATATATGTAATTTTATATATTCGAGATACATTATATGTTTTTGGAATTGATTAATAAAGAAATAAAAAATATTTTAATCGCCACAGTTTGATTTAAAGAAATAAAATGATAGTATCTAGAAATCAAATCGCTACAGTTTGAAGAAATATAAAAATCAATATATTTATTTATTTACTACAACATGTGTAGCGATTTGATTTCTAGATACTATAATTTTATTTCTTTAAATCAAACTGTGGCGATTAAAGAATTTTTTATTTCTTTATTAATCAATTCCAAAAACATATAATGTATCTCGAATATATAAAATTACATATCTTTTTATCGCGAACTACCAAAAAAAAATATCAAAAAAAATCAATGACCTCATTTTTTCTTTCTTTTCACATATAAACATACCAATAAAATCAATATATTTCTTTAAAAAAATACAAAAATCAATATATTTATTTATTTACTACAACAATTAATTTATTAAAATCATGAGTAAAATTATGTATGTGTATGTCCTATTTGGATATAAAATCCTGGGGATTCGGAATCTCTCGATTTTAAATCCTTTACCGAGATGATTTTATAATCCTATTTAACCGGAAATTTTAGCATGAGATTCCTATAGATTTCAGCCAATTTCCGCCATAGATATTTTAATATTTTTTGATTTATATGAAAAATCCAAAATTAATAAAAATTAGGAGTAGTTTTAAAGTTCATGGCAAAATTGTTTGAAATTTAAAGTTTGGTATACATGATGAATACAATTTCTGTCAAATGAGATTTTTAAAATTTAAAAATCGCCTTAGTTATTAATCGAGAGATTCCGATTCCTCATGGATTCCATACAATACGATTTATACATAAACCCATACAAAACAAGACTGTATAAAATTATTATAAAATGGTTGTATTTACAATAAGAATGAAAATATAAAATTAATTTATGAAATAAAATAAGATGTTATCTTTGTTTGTTTGTATATTTGCTACGATACGTTTTTACATGGCGTTTAATAATATCTTTGGATCTATGAATATTGTGAACAGTTCCTTTAGAAATATTAAATCTTTTAGGAAATTCTCTTTGAGTATGATGATTTAAAAATTTTATAACTTAAATTTATTAATTAACGCTAAATAGTTATATTTGTTTTCATTATTAATTTTGTTTTTGAATAGTTTTAAAATGATAATAAAAATAATGACAAAAATTAACAAATGCCCACTTTTTAGAGGTGTTACGTATATAGAAAATTTAAACCTGCCCACTTCAAAGTAGACAATTGTCCAATTTATCCAGGCATTTTATAATAATAGTTAGTAGCAATTTGATGGGACTTAAAACTTTGTCAAATTATAAATTGCCCAAATTGTTAAGTGGTAAAATTAGACAGGTTTGAATGTAATATAGAAATCTTGAAATGATTTTTTTGATATAACAAATTCGTTATATAAAAATATGATTTTAATATTCTCTAAATATAGGTACAGGATTCCATTGTTTTCAAACACAAACTCTTATTATTAGAAAAATATGTAAAAAAAATTATAATTTTTTACATTAAAAAACTTATAATGTTAGTATATGATCACAGCCATCTCGACCTGGTGTAAATGCTCCCTAAAGGTATGATGTAAGAAAAGGGATCCAATCGTAAAAATATCAGCTCCGAAATACCCTTAAGGACACAGTATCATATAGCTTGCTTAGTTTAAACTCAAACCCTTTAACAATTTGCAGTTTTAGATAAATTCTAAATTGGCAAATATTTTCAAATAACAACATTTTAATGACCATATTCTCGGGTAGATATTAATCAATTTTGAGTATATTAATTTTATAATTAATGTATTCCTCATAAATATCAAAAGAATCATTTAATACGATAATATACCTAATCCAGACAAGATGTATATGAGTCCCTCAATAAACCCAGCTTTTACGCGAAGCAATGATGACTCCATGTGGTTTAACATACTTTCGGTAAAAGTATTCATAATATTCTCGATCACGATATCTTTATTTGACACGTTTGGTGATGAATTATCCGGCCAATAATTAAGAAGAGATCTGAATATTTTAGCACAAGAAAAACGGGCTCTAGGGATTCTATTGAGAATGAGATTGTGGCATATCAAAGTCACGGTGTCATTTATTAAGCGTATCAAGGATGCTTCCGATTTTGAAAAATTTAGATAATATCGAGGAAGCGTCAATTCCACAGCATGTAATTTAAGCAAAATGTAACGGCCAGAGATTCTTTTTTTTTAAAAATAATTTTAAATATGGAAATATCTCTTAGGTGGAGTATGAATATAATAAAATCAAAAAGCTCAAAATTGAATGACTCACTCTGATCCCACATTGAATTTACCAATATCTTCGACATTTTGAACAGTAACATTTTTATCAGACTCACTATTTTCAAAAAGAGACAAAACCGATTCGATTTCGGTTTTCTCTCGATCTGAGAGAAGATCATCGATTCCTTTCTGATATCCCAAGCAGTGTTTCAGCTGTTCGACGGGATCTATGTAGTCCCATAAATCGGGCATCTGGTCTCGCATGTACGCGAAGCCCAAGTTTTGTGCCAATATTTCTAGCGTGAGAGAGGCGGCATTGTAAGCTGGGGTATTGGATCTAATGGTTTTGTCTTCAGTAATGGGTAATAATGCATTTGTGGCTAACCGAGAGAGTGATGGTTAGTAAAATGAACCAATATTTTTAAAATATACTCAAGTTTGATAGAATAATTCAAAATAATATGAATACTATTTTTTTTAAAATAATGTAAATATAGATATATGGCAACAATTCTAATACAAAGTGGTTAAACTAGTGCTGTAAAGTAACGTCGTTACCTTCTTTGAAAAAAGGAAAGCCATTCGTCACCTTCTTCTAGAGGTAACGAGTAATGGTGACACCTTTTTTTTGAGTATATGGGAAAAACATATTTTATTGTATTTAAAAATTATTTTTATTTATTTTTTAAATAATTTAAGCCGAGTTTTAGAGTCAGATCAACCATCAAATTCTTTTATTTTTATTTTAAATTTTCGTATTTAATATTGAATCGATAAAGATATGTTAATTTATCTTATTCTCAAATATTATAATTTATTTTATAAAGAATATTATGTCAATTACATATTTCTTCAGATGAATATGATTTAACCTGCCCTGGACCCAATATGAAACATTTTTTACACTAAAATAAAATTAAGGGTACTCTACACTTTGTATGTGTCCTATAACTCAAATATTTCCTCGATTGTGGGATAAACATGGGAATCTCGAAACTTTGTATCCATTTTTAGAGAAAAAAAAATGGGAAGATATCTGATCAAACCTGTTATAACAAGCAGGGACACTTTTTATAACTTAGGGGAAAATAGTCTTATTAAGAAGAATGGCCAATTGAATTACAGAAATGATATATTGTAGGGTTATGGTTTTATATAATGAAACCTGTTGCTAAGGATCTTTCGATTTTAGAACATTTGGTATATCTCACTCCCAAGATAACTATTATAATATTAAAACTTAAAACAAAATTGCTTTAAATAATTTCAAGTTAAAGCCACTTATTAATGCAATCCTGAGATAAAGGAATACAGTTAAATTATTGTTTATTTATTTTTGATATTATTTTCAAAAGATCGAACTATAAAGATGAATATATGGAATCAGTAAAATTTTACCCGCTATTTAAATTGGATACGCCATAGATAAAATTAGGTCAAAGAAGGTAGAAATCTCGAACTTATTTCTAGTTTGAGAAAATATCTTGTCAAAGACAAAGCAAACTTCGATTCCTAAAAACAAGTCATATACGTTACTTTCTTATAAAGATAATTTTGATGAGGATCTATTAAGCGTTTTTCATACTAAGGATTATTCTTTAATTTTTTTTATTTATTAAATATAATACAACCCTCCCATCCTCTGCGAAAGTCAAACATGTGTTTAGCACGGCAAAAGATGTGTTAAGACTCTTGCTTTTATCTGATCAAAATTTTGAAAATCAATTGTTAAAAATAAATAAAAATTATCATAAAATTTTATTATTATATATAGGGGAAAAAATTAATATAAAAGATCTGTCTTATAATATATTATTTTTGTATATACCCAGTACCGCGCGTTCTATTTTCATAAGGTAACAAGGTAATGCGTTCCTTTTTGTGATGTAACGAGTAATGCTCTGAAGCAACGTTTATAGCACTAGATTAAACTAATTAGATCATTTAAATATATAACGATTTACTTATCTTTGTAAATATGTTAAAGGTGTTTAAACAAATCTGATAGGCTTTAATGTTACCAAGTTTTAATAAAATTAATATAAATATGACCAATAACCTTTATCATCGATATAATATAACTAAATTAATAAGTTTAACATCAAATGGAATTCAAATTAAAAAGGGAAATAAAGGGAGGCAATCTCTGATGAAATAAGAACGTTAAAATTTGAAATTTAAAAAAAATAAAATAGGATTTACTATAAATTGAATCATCTGCGTATGGTATATTTCTTAAATGGTGTATTAAAATCGAATTAGCCTGGCAAAGATTCTGGCAAATTCGGGTAAAATCGCTACTAACTTGTTTTATGCCAGGAAGATCTATGCTAGAAGATGACCTACAATATCTGTTCAAAGGTGAAGAGGTATTAAGTTGCTTTAAAAATTTGAGTGATATGATTATTCCTGAGATATCTTGCTGATCGTTAATCATGTTCAGTCCTTGAATTAAAAATATTTAAAAAATTGTTAAAATAGAATCAATCAACGTCATTATTATTTAAGCTGATAAAAAATTATTTACGCCTCCAAAAAATGTTTTTCACAAATAATGAATATTTAAAGTTTTTAAATTAACTCTCCAGTGTCAAAAACATTTGCGGAGGGGGGGGGGTTAAAAACCTTTAAACCTGGTATAGGCCAATCTAAAAAAATTATACTCAATTAAGACACATTGAAATATATCAAATTTTCATTCAAGGATAAATGCCAGGATAATTATAAACCCATAATAAATATTTATTTTGTTTATATCTTTCAATTTAGGTATTATTTAAAATTTTAATAATAAAAATTTTGCATTAAAAGAAATATATTTTATAAAAATGGTCTAAGTTTACAGATAGTATATTCCTTCTAAGTTCACCTTAAATATTAAATTTTGTTTAAATATAAGTCTGATTTTTTTTTAATAATTCCGAAAATGTTTATATCTTTTAAATGGAAATGTATCAAACTCTTCGCATAAATTAAAGTGGCTAAAGATAAAGAAGTATACAGAATTTAAACGTTAATGTATATTAACAATTTTAAAATCTATGGACGCAGAACCTTACACCTTATGCAATTGAAGGGTTAAATTTAGCCCTTCTAAACGCTTTAGACTAACCTTAGCCATGCCACATTTCTAGCGCTGTGCCGATATTAAATATCGGATATGCATATATCGTTTACATAAATATCAGATCGGGCCAATTTTTTTTAAAAACTGATCCGATATTTTTTTTAGTTATTTTATGATTGTACATATAATTTTTTTTATTATATAAATAATTTCATAATAACGAAAGGAACAAAAATACAATTGTTAAAATGTTTAATAGTTAAAAATTTTACACTATTTTTTGTTATGGTAAGCGGAATAAATCCCCGGAAAAAAATCCCCGAAAATAATTACCTGGGAAAAAATTCCCATAGAAAATTATTCCCCGGAAATAAATTCCCCATTTTTTAGATTTTAAATTAAATATAGGGGAAAATAAATCCCAGGATATCCGAATAATTTTTTTTTAAAATTAACAAATAACCCTGCCGCTAAAAAATATTTCTAAAAAATTATATTCAGCATTTTCTGAAAGTTGAGTATTTATTCTCGATGTTTGAGGATTTTTTTTTGAGCATTATTTCTGTTTTAATTCTAAGCGAAATAGGGCAATCTTAAAATATGAGAATTGATAGGTTGGTAGTTTTGATACTTTGTAATTTAGTATATCGCATAAAAAGTATAGATTTGTGACATCTTGGAAAGAAAACATGATAGATTTTTATAGAAATTGATGAAAATTATGGTTGCAATTTAAAATTGAAAAAAAAGTGAAAACAAATTTTTTCCTAGAAAGAGGGGGATTATTTCCATAATCTACTTTTCATCTAGATTTCAATAGATATTATGAAAACAGATCATTTAACCACATTATATTTACCATGAAGAGAGTTGGGGAGGATTTCCAACCTACACGTCACTACGGTTAAAAAGATATATATAACATTAAATATGAATATTAGAACACTATTCTGTTCCGTATGTTTATATCAGTCTGAAACCCGGACAAAAATAACAAATTTTTTATGTTAATACAATACTATTGATTTTAAAATTTGTATCTGATTATAAATTTTCAAAAAAGTATTTATCCAAATAAATGATTACAAGGGCTAATTTTAAAAATGGTTGAAATCCAAAGACTACTTTCAAATAATTAAATGTTACCAAAAAAATATAATATTTATAATATTCATATTTTTTTTTATAAATATTATCATTATTAATATATTTAATTCATTTAACAAAACACAGGAGACTATAATCTAAATAGAAACTTATTTTAGAAAAATTTGGGTGGTATATTGTTTGTAATTTCGAATCAAAAGATTTTCATTTTGTTATTTTAATACTTTTTAAAAAATTTATTTTACCATTTTAAATATTTTTGATAATTTTAATAAATTAATTTTTTTATGTTTGTTCTTCCATTAAATAAGCACGCTAAAATTTTTCATGAAGGCGATTCCTACAATTATCATAAAACTAATTTTAAAAGATACAAATGTACATTATATAATCCTGAAAAATTCCCAGTTATTTTTAAATGCTAAAGTGAAAATGATTATTCATTGGAAAATATGCCTCATATTCATCCTATAAACCCACATGAATATAAAATTGACATGCTATAAACAATATGAAAAGAAAAGCCTTTGAAAGAAATCAAAATACTTGTCAAATATATGCAGAAGATATATCTAAATTGTCTCCCGTATCCAGAAAAAGACTTCCAAATGGGATAGTATCAAGCGTACCTTTAGAAATCACAAAATAAAAAAGTTTCCTCCTAATCCGACCACATTGGAAGAATTAAGCATTTCAGGCTAAATCATATTTAAGCCTATAAATAACTTATTATTTTTTTGAAAATACCTTTTAATATTAGAGGATTGGGCGGATCTCACACGAAGGAGAGATTTCTTTTACATAATTGCGGAGATGCAAATGAACGAATAATTATATTTGCTAACTATTATATGCTCAAGATGTTCACTGAAATTAAATCTTGGTATATAGACGGGAATTTTAAATTGGCACCTCATTTATTTTTGCAAATATATGTAATTAGAATACCCTTTAAAACTCCATTTGTTATAGAGACATATTTTTTGCTACAAAGAAAAACGTATAAAGTATGAAGAAGTTTTTAAGATTTTATATGAAAAAACACAAGAACGTAATTTAGTGATAGATCCTACCACAATTTATATGGATTTTGAAAAGGCCGGAATCAATGACGTTGAAAATACTCTAGGTTTCCTTTTGTCGAGATATGTATAAGGACCTTGATTATGTATTTTGGACCGGTGGACCTTGAAATTTTTTAAATTCCTTATTTTCCTTTTCCTGATATTTATAGGAATTATTGACCGGTGGACCTTGAAATTTTTTAAATTCCTTATTTTCCTTTTCCTGATATTTATAGGAATTATTTTCGAGTATAGTGTTGTTAATCGACTTAGTCGGAAACGGAGCCAAATTTTGGGTCAAAAAAATTGACCCAAAATTATATCAGTCATATGAACATAAGTTAACTAGAGGACGAATATTTCAAGTTGGTTTTTTTTATTAATTAACAAAACAATTATTTTTTTACTTTAGACTTTCAATTTGAATCGTGAATATGAATTATATAGTTGAGTCAACTATAGGACGAATATTTCAAGTCATTACAAATTAAGATATTTGTTCTGTTTTTATTTTTTTACTTTAAGACTTTCAACTTGAGTCGTAAATAAGAATTATATACTTGAGTAGACTAGAGGACAAATATTTCAAATTAGTCATTAAATAAGGTATTTGTTCTGTTTTTTATATTTTCTTACTTTTTTTCGTTTAGTGGAGTTAATAAAATGATCATAAATGGCAGCAGAGCAGGTGAATAAATTTGAATTTAATCACATCACATTAAATTTAATAATAGTGCGTTATGGTAGAATAATGCTGTTTGTTTAAAAAAAACCCTCTTTTTTAAAAATTATAAGCGTTTTTAGCTATTTGGATTGAAGAGGGGCAGTAAGTTTTTGAAAAAGGACATGACTTTAAAAATACTGTCTAAGCAGGGGTTCGAACCAAACCTGGCTACTATTTTTGCCGGGTTAGCATCCCTGTGTTAAGTAACTAAATAAATTTTATTTGTAAAATAGTGAGCTAGCTAAATTTATTTGTGGGATATAAAATTATCCCAATAAAAGTGAAAAATAAAGCCAAGATTTGTCTGAACATCCTAGAGCTCTGGTTCATCGAAAAAAACAGAATACATAGCCACTGTTGAAAGATATTTTAATTAAATAGTATATATGAATGTCAAGAAATTAAAACCAATTTGGGATTATTCAAAATTTTAAAAAACCTAAATATTTAATAAAACCTATACAATAAGTTTAATCTATTTATTTAACTTTTAGGTAGAGATATCACCTTACAAATATGATTCTATCACCTAACTCAATCTACCCATAGGAAGACAAGAATTAGGGTTAGAATCGACATATCGTAATGATCCATCGTTATGTTTATTTGCAGCAATAATCGACGGATTAGCATTCTTACTTGTATATGTCAAACGAGGGATGGAATTTTTAAAGACGATTGTATCGGTATTGTTATATTTGGATAAAAATTATGTGAATGGAGAGTTAAGAAATGGGAGAAACTCACAAAGGCAAGTAGAACCATTGTTTCCACCTGAAACATGGAATGTATTTAAAGTTACAATTGCTAATTGAACAAATAATGTATATGAAGGATGGTAATCGATTTCAGCATATTATAGGTCATAAAAAGCCTAAGATATGGGAACTAATCGAAAAGATGAGGATGGAAATAGCCGTCGACATAGGCAAAATAGGTCAATGGAGTATTGGGACCTACACTCACCAAAAAAATCGTAGTTACACCGTAAAACAAAATATTTTGAAAAATTTGTGTATTGATTTTTTAGAAGAGAGAAAGAACTTACTTAATTTTCTCTCTTCATTTGGAGAACATATACGTTCTAGTATTGTTTTATTTGAATAATATGACTTCTATTGTTTCATATATAATTTTAATAAAATAAAAATATAATTATTACTTTTCTGTAAATTTTGAAAAAAAATTCATAAGCAAAATAATAATTATAAGATTTGAAATATATAATACTCAGTGCTGATAATCACCTCTGATATATTTTTGATTAAAATGGTCAGCATTTTTTATTACTTTTGTCAGTATTTAATTTAAATTGGGCAGATGATGAAATGAAAGAAAGATTAGTAAGTTGGATAAATATCCTTGAATGCATGGACTAAAAGTAAACAGAGAAAAGACGGAATATATGGTGATAGGAGTAGATGAAACAGAAAGCATTGATATAAATAAATGAATGGCAAATATCAGCAATTGAAATCTGCATATTTAGGCTCCACTATACAAACAAAGGGCACAATAAAGTAAGAGATAAAGAGTAGAATTTATCAAGGGTGGTTAAAGTGGAGATCTTTATCTGGAGTGCTCTTTGACAAAAGAATCCCACACAAATTGAAAGGAAAAATTTACAGTTCCATAGTACAACCAACTATTCTATATAGTTTGAAAACATGGCCAACCAAGAACCAGACGAGAGAAGTCTACAAACTATGAAGATGAGAATGCGAGGATGATTGCTGGGGTATCAAGAAAGGATAAGGTGGGAAGTACAAGAATACTGGGAAGTTTAAAAATAGTGCCTATTAAGACTAAGATAATGGTGAAAAGACTTAGGTGGTATGGGCACACAATGAGAAAGCCTATGAACTATATAGGAAATAAGGTTAAAAATTTGGAAGTGATGGGCAAACGTAAAAGAGGAAGGCCAAAACTTCAATGGGGACATAAAGTTAGAACCGATATGAAGAAATATAAATTAGATAAAAGAGATAGCATGAATAACATAAAGTGGAGAGAGATATTGAAGGAGCTTATCACCAGAAAAGGTGAAAGCTAAAAAGAAAAAAAATATAATTTAGCAAGTTTTTTATTGATTTGTATTCAGCCAGTTAAATTCTTATAGTAGGCATTAAATACTTCAGTTAAATAATTTCAACTTCAGTTAAATAATTTCAAACAGAGGAGTCCAGGTTGAATTGCAAATTTCCTATTTCGCAACAGAATTTTTCTATATAATTATATCATTTAATATGCCCATCATTAGCATTAAAAACAAAAAAGGGTGCTATTTAAGAGTTAGTAAAAGGCATGCTATTATTTTTGCAAACTAAAGACAAATATAAAATTTGTGCATAGGACACTATATTTTATATTCTAAAAATTATCAGCAAAAGACTTCATAAATTATGTAACAAGATTAAAAAAATCGCCAACTATTTTTGAAGGTAATGATTTAAATTTTTAATATATTTCTAAAACTTCATGGAAATGATTAATAATTTGTGTAAAAATAAATATTTTATTGAAATAAAATTTTGATTTTCAATAATAATATCTAAAAATTGATGAAAATATGTGAACTAGATTTATTTAACTTTCGTTTTATTATTTAAACCTCAAATCTTCTAGGGAATTTGAATTTAAAAAATATTTTGATTTAATTAAAGTAGTGCAGATCCAGGTCAAAAATTGGTATGAATTTATGAATCCGGGCCAAAATAAAAAATTTGGGCTGGTCATTATCATTACTCTGTTTAAAATAATATTTTGCTTAATATCAGAGAGACTAGGTACCCAATTAGTTTATTTTACAAATATTGTTTTGTTTAATTTTACCAAACCTGGGTTCGGAATAAGGCCATATTGGTTAGGATTAATTAATAATAATTTAAAAATTTGGTTAGGTTTAATATAAATCACTAGTTATTATTCATAATTTTGTTTAACAATTTTATCTGGGAAATTTTTATTTGGAAAAATTTTATAGAAATTGTTTCTAATTTTGTTGATTTTCTCGAAAATTTTTACATATTTTATAGGGATCAAAAAATAGGGGAATTATCTTCAAGGGTAATTTTTTCAAAGGGAATTTTTTTTCCGGGGAGTAATCTTTCGAGAATTTTTTTCCGGGGAATTATTTTCCTAGATTCATTTGTTAAATTATCTGCAACAAGAAGAGGATTTTAAAATATCTAACGGTAACGTGTCATATTCAGCTAGTGTTGTTAAACGGCTTGAATTTGACAATTTTTAAAAATGGTTAACTCAAAATTTTGACCAAAAGTAAATTATTCTAGCTTATATTTTGCCCATATAGATGGCAGAAAGGTTTGGACTTTTATTCGAGAAATTTCGAGAATTAAGTAATAATATTTGAACTAAAATCTTTATTTAGCCATTTTTAAAAATCGGCTAAATAGAGCTGCTTAACAATACAACGTTCATCTATAAACATTGCAAATATTTTAAATGGGATCATTAACTTATGAAGAATAAAAATCAAAATACACTCAATCATTCGTTAGAGTTAATTATTTTCTTTTAAATAGAAAATATTGATATTTTTATTACATTGGTTCAAGAAAGAAATCGATATAAATATAAATATCGGATAGGTATCGTATCGGTGAAAAATTTGTGGATAGGTATATTCTTACACATTTCACTACTTAAAATATCCTCTTCCTACCCTCTAAGGATTAGATAACAAAATACATTAGAAAGTAAAATCTTAGGTAACAACCAAGTATTCATGAAAGTAAAAACTCCAAAAGGAAGGCAGTGTTGAAGTATATTACAAAACCATATTAATTTTAAATGTTTTATATTCATATCATTGATAAATCAATCATCTTTCTTACCCTTTCTATCGAATTGCAGCCATTCCGCTCCGAATGGTCCGCCATTTTTAGCACCCAAGGCGAGCATACGATAAATTAAACTTCCCGACAAGTCTTTAGCATCTTTCCTCTGCCAGCGTATAAATACAAAGATGGCTGCCAGGATTTCGCATAGACGCCTGCACAATAAAGGCTCGTGCTCGACCTTCAAAATATCCATCAAATCGCGTGTTAGTTTAATAAGGTCAGGTAGTTTGTGTGTTTGTTGAGAATTAAGTGAAGTTTCCACTTCCAAGGTCATCACATCTGACTAATATTACAAGGTAAATATAGTATTATTATGATTAGTAGATAAATATGTACTTCTATTTTATTTATTAAATTCTAATCAGACCTGTTGCAAGGCCTGACTCGGATATTTTTAAAATATATTACATTTATTTTTAATTTTTATAGCTAATAATGGCGATTTAAAATATTTATAACCCGGCCCAGGTATTTTTACAAAAAATTTTTAGACTCGGCCCGATAAATTCATTCATCGTGAATTTTTCAAGACCCCTCCTAGCATGCGCCGGTTTTTTCCGAAAAAGCCTATAAATTCCTTACTAGTTGTTTATATATATAAATTAACTTTAATATTATATAAAATAAAATGTAACAAATGCTTATCTTTTAAAAGACATAAAGGGGTTAATGGTAAATATAAAATGGTGCGATTTTGAACGAACCAAATGATACGATTGAGGTAATACTTGTATATTTTTTTACCGAAACGAATCAAAAAAACGAATTACTCATTTACTTGTTTACAATTTTAATTTTTATATAGATATCTTCTTTTATCATATATGAGAGAAATTGTGATCTGGGAGTAGAAAATTCTTATAATTATAATAATTAGGTTGAATCTATATAATTTTATTATTCCTAAAATAATTTTAGTTATTAATTACAGACGCAACCTTTAAGTCTTTTGAAGAATTAGTCAATATGAATTAAAGGCTAAAATAAATTATATAAAAATTTGATCGAAATAATTAAAGAATACTACAAAGGAGATTATATAAAAAAAAGTATTTCATGTCTGTAAGCATGGAAGTGGTCTTCAATGTGAACTAACCCATTTTTAAATAAATAAAAGTAAATGAGGGCTTTTGTTATTTTTTGTCAAATATTAGTATTTCAAATTTTATAAAAAAACGACTTAACCTAATAATTTAAAAATATCAAGTAACGTGTTTTAGAGTTATAAAAATTTAAAAACGCTACGTTAAATAAATATAGAAACGTCAATTAGGCTGGTTCTTTGGTTTTTTGAAAAAGGTCTGAACTTGCTAAATGAGTTATAATATAATTAGTCTAAAGAATTACCTTAGAGAAAAAGAGATATAGTGGAAAAATATTATCGACCAGGAACTTCCAAAAGGTAACAAATTTATGGTTTCAAATATATTTATAAAATAAAAACATATTAATGATGAACTCCTTATTAAGTGGATAGGTAGCAAAGAATTTTAATACTTAATGGCAAAAAATTTTAATACTTAATGCATTCGCGATAATGCATTCACGATATTGCATTCTTGATAATACATTCGCTGTAATGCATTCGCAATAACTTATCGGTAATGCATTCGCTCTAACCCTAAATTCATAGTGAAGCGCGATTGCGATTTAGCCGCTATATCGTAAGCGACCGATCAGCTGGATCAATCGCAGTGATTTTCATTCATAGCGCAAAGCGATATTATTGATTCATAAATTTTTATCAGTCAAATGATTATTTTTGTACAAAATCATCATGAAAAAGGCGAAATTTTTTAATTATATGAACCAAAATATTTATTAATTCTATTTTATCTTTATTCTATATTATATAGGAAACTTATAATTACATTCTAAAAGTGTCTAGAAATTTTGGAATTAATATAAAAAATCGATAGAAATTGATTTAAATTAAGAATGATTCAAAATTTCACTATTGCCTAAAATTTATAGGACAGGAGCTATACTGTACTGTGTGAAATATATTTAAGATAAAATTAAATCAATCAATATTTTGTTTTATAAAAGAGGCAGACTATAAATAAATGTATTCAACAAAAACCTTATGACAATATTAATGATATTCCTGAACGCAACAAAAACTTGGGAAAAAGATTGAACACAAACTTGGTTGGCTCGTTTATCGACCCAAATCATCCACAAGATGCGCACGCATATCAAAACGCCGTTGACTCGGGCGTGCGCGAAAGCCTGTTTTTCTCGAGTATCCTCGATGACTTTTCGCAAAATTGTGGCGTCGGAATGGAGATGAGTATCAATACAAGGAGGACGAGTATTCTGACAAGATTTATTATTAAAATCGAAATATTTAGAAAATGATTGTTAGTCAATAAACCATTTTAAAAGGGCTAATAAATAATTTTATGATACAGAGGATGAATAAGCATAAAGAACCCTGATCCTAGTAGAACTCGCTGTAGATACCCTAAATTACAAAAAATATTTTGAACTTAAAAAATGATTGTTTTAAAGTCTGGTAATTCGGACCAAAATCCGGCTAAAAAAATTTTAAATTCAGACCAGGCGAAAAAATAAAAAATGATCATAATATCTGTGGGATTCTTTCATTTTTATATTAAAAAAAATGAATTTATATATTAAATTGCAATTTTCGAGCCATATTTGAGTCTAAAAATAAAATTTGGAGCCTGGACCAAAAACATTATTAGGTATTTTTTTCAAAGGTGTTATTATGGACTTTTTTTCATCGCCAATGTTTCCCTTTTTAGATATATCTCGGAATTAACAGGGTTTTCAAACTGTCCAAAATAAAAAAATCACCGAAAATTTTTCCGAAGGGATTTACTCAAGGTTTTACATATTATATTTGTTTCAATAAAAATTAATAAATAGGAGCAACATTATTATATCTGATCACATGTTCAAACTAAATAAAATATAAGTCTTTAAATTTATAAAGGAAATTATAATTTTTGATTAACTTCTTCTGGCACTGGGCAACGCTTTTTACGAATAGGACTGGGGACTGAAGAAGGGCAAGGGTATTCGGTGAGAAGCCATTCCAATAAAGTTGGGTCCAAAGCTTTTTTAATAAGAAATGGAATGTTTTAAGATGTATGATTATCATTAAAAGGCGCTAAATATCTTTAGAAAGGAAATGATCTTTTGATAAATATTCAGGACCGGATATATTTTTAATTCTGGTTCCAATCTGATTGCAATAAAATAATGTATTGAAAAATAAAAAATGAATAAATAAATAGAATAGAAATTTAAAGGATTTCTAAATCAATCAGAGACCTGTAAGCCCTGCCTATAAATTATTTTAAAATACTCAAGCACGGCCTAAATTTTTTTTAACATTACCCAGGCCAGGCGGAATATTGTAAATCCCATTATTACATTATTATATATACACAGGGTTTCCAATTCAAAGAAGGAAAAGTCCCAATCAAAAAAGGAAAAGTTTCAATCATAAAAGGAAAAGGTCCAATCAAAAAAGGAAAAGAATCAATCATAAAAGGAAAAGGTTTAATCATAAAAGGAAAAGGTTTAATCAAAAAAGGAAAAGGTTTAATCAAAAAAGGAAAAGGTCCAAACAAAAAAGGAAAATTCCCAAAATGAAAGGAAAAAGTCCGATCAAAAAAGGAAAAGGTTCAATCAAAAAGGGAAAAGGTCCAATCAAAAAAGGAAAAGTGTCAATCGAAAAAGGAAAATTCCCAAAAGGAAAGGAAAAATGTCAATCAAAAAAGGAAAATTCCCATTCATAAAAGGAAAATCGTAATTTTTTTAAATTTTTCTTAAAATTTTATTTATTTTTGTTATTCCTCCTTAATTTATATCTAAATTTTTGCGATTTCTTTACGTTTTTATCTTACTGATCTTTTCTCAATTTATTTCTAACACTTTGCAATTTTCTTTGCTATTATTTTTCTTACTATATCTTCTCTCAATTTATTTTTCTTCTCATTTTTGATTCTTTTGTATTTTTAAAAATAATTTATAAATTTAGGTCCATTTTTTTAACAATTCTTTACGTTTTTTTTTCATACAACAATATTCTTTTTATGATTTTTTCATTGTAATCTTTTACATACATTTCTAACCTTTTCAATCTCTTTAAGTCATTTTTAATCTTTATTTTTTTGAGCATTTGTCAATTTTATTTTTAATAATTACTTTTTAAAATTATATTTAATGTTTTTGGCAGAGAATATAATTACAATTGCTAAATTAAATTATTCGTTTGGTTATAATGTACCTTTTAAAATTAATAGTGAACTGCATCGAGCCTAATTTTTCAACAAGGGCCGGCCCAAAATTTTGCCGGCCCGACACGAACCCGAAATATTTTTAAAAAGGTTTTACGGGCCCGAACCCTGCCCGGCCCGAATTTATATAAATATTAATTTTTATAATTACTCAAAATAAATGATATATGTTATATGGCGTCTAGTTTCTATAAATAAAATCTAATATTTTTATTTTACATTAAAAATTCAACATAAAATTGATAAATTTATATATATTAAATAAAATTTCTAAAGCCCGACCCGACACGAATTTTTAAAAAAATATTAGGCCCGGCCCAGTCCGAACCCGATTTCCTTTTAAAAAAATAGCCCGGCCCGAAGCCCTGCGGGTCGGGCTTACTTTTGCAAATCTCTAATGAAAATTAATAAAATATAATCATTTTTAAATTCTTATGTTTAATATTATCAAAAATGAGAAGAAAAAAAATTGAGAAATGCTCAAAAAAATAAAGATAAAAAATGACTTAAAGAGATTGAAAAGGTTAGAAATGTATGTTAAAGATTACAATGAAAAAATCATAAAAAGAATATTATATGTATGATGAAAAAAAAAGTAAAGAATTGTTAAAAAAATGATAAATTTATAAATTATTTTTAAAAATACAAAAGAATTATCAAAAATGAAAAGAAAAATAAGTTGAGAGAAATATTAAGAAAAATAAAAGTAAAGAAAATCGCGAAAAGTTAGAAATAAATTGAGAAAAGATCAGTAAGAAAAAAAACATAAAGAAATCGCAAAAATTTAGATATAAATTAAGAAGGAATAACAAAAATAAATAAAAACTTAAGAAAAATTGACAAAAAATTAAAAAAAATTACGATTTTCCTTTTATGAATGGGAATTTTCCTTTTTTGATTGACACTTTTCCTTTCCTTTTGGGAATTCCTTTTTCGATTGACACTTTTCCTTTTTTGATTAAACCTTTTTCTTTTTTGTTTGACACTTTTCCTTTTTTAATTGAAACTTTTCCTTTTTTGTTTGACACTTTTCCTTTTTTGATTGGACTTTTTCCTTTCTTTTTGGGAATTTTCCTTTTTTGATTGACACTTTTCCTTTTTTGTTTGGACCTTTTCCTTTTTTGATTGACCTTTTCCTTTTATGATTGACCCTTTTCCTTTTTTGATATAGACTTTTCCTTTTTTGAATGGGAAACCCTGTTAATTAAAAGTAAATAAAATATATTTAAAAAATGTGTGTTATAGAAAAATATATCACATTCATTCACTTATCATATTTTCTATTTTCATTTTATATACGAATTTCATATTCACTGAAAAATGCTCCATAAAATATCAAAAAAATATAGTAATGTAAAATTAGAAGTAATTCTTAAAATATTTTATTATATTCGTAATCAAAACGCATCTTATTTATGTAAATTCATATAATAAATATATTAATAAAAATAAACATTTTACATAAAAATCAAAAATAACAAATAATAAACAATTTAATACATAACATTTATAACCAATCTAATTAGTTTCGTTCGTATTCTTTTAAGATATCGATCTTGACTTGTAGTTTCTAACTTTTGTATAAGACTTCCTTCAACTTCTTGACTTGTATCGTTTTTCTCCCTCTCATTTAGTTTCAGTTCATCGTTATTGTCTACTATCTCTTCAGTTCTCTCTTATATTTTCGGTTCTTTTCCTCAATTGATCAGTATGACGTATAATCGTTTTACCCTCAATACTTTCTTCATATCGTAGTGATTCGAGTATGCTTCTAAAAGGCTTTTTCCCATTATTTTTCTTTATTATTGTAAATGCGCGACCACACTTTTTCGTCTGGAATTTTTGAATGTAGTATTCTAACTTCTCCTTTTTGATCCCCCGTTCGAATATTTAGTCTAACAATCCTCTAGGTTCAATTTTTAGTAGTATTTAGGAGGGATATTGTTCATTTTTTGCCCCTGGTGTATTTCGGTAATTGTAGAGAAAAAAAGAGCTAAACTGGTTTCTAAATTCCCCTCGTTTCTTTTATTCGTGCTCTGTTTAAAGGTTCGAATAAAACGTTCGGCCATGCCTTTCGTTTAAAGATGGTATGGACTTTCGTGCAATAATTGTATTCCGTTTCTTTCGCAAAAATCATTGAATTCTTCTTTACTGTTGAATTGTGGCCCGTTATCAGAAATGATTATCTTAGGAAATCAGAATCTGGCAGATATTTCTTAATATTTTTATCGTGCTTTCGGTTGTATTACCAGTCATGGGAACTATCTCTGGCCAGCGACTGCTATCATTACCAACCAATAATGATTTTGAAATGGTCCAGCATAATCAATATGTACTCGGTGCCATGCTTTTGGTGGTTTTTCCCAATTTTGAATTGATGTCATTTGAGGCATATCGTGTTGTTCCTGGCTTTCTCTACATTTTTCAACCCACGTTTCTATATCTTGGTTTATATTAGGCCACCGCAAGTATTGTCTAGCTCTCATCTTTATTTTGCATCATATCTAAAACGTTGTTTCGGTATTTTTGTGGTATTATCATTTTAGTTCTCCACAGTAAACAACCTCTCTCTCTGTTTTGATTTCCTCTCTTATTTGGCTATACTCTTTTAAACATGTATCATAGTTTATTGGTCATCCGTCTTTTGTATACCTGTATACTTTGGAGAGTACATCATTTTGCATTGTCTTTCTTTCAATTTTGTTTGCATCTAAAGGTGTTTATTCTCCCACCTGTATTTGATCTTTTCTAGAGGTAGGCGCGGGCCGTGAAATTGCGCGTGACCCACCGTGGAATGTGAAGAAATTTTAAATTATTAGGCATGACTGGGCCTTTTCCAAAATTTTCCCCGTGCGTGAGTGGGCGTGAACACAATTTCCATAAATCACGGAAATTTTAATTTTTAAAATTGTTTTTTATTAATATAAATTTGCAAATTTATAATTTTAAAAAATATATAATTTATTTATTATTTAATTTAATTTACTTTTTTTAAAAAAAAGATTAGTTTTTGAAAACAAAAAATCTTTCGCATTTTATAAACAACATCCGAGTGAACCTATTTTTACTTTTGCTAGCTTTTTCTTTTAAAATTTATATGTTCAAATTCAAATCAAATTTATCAACAAGCTTATTTACATGTATATAGTGATCTTCTTTCAAGTATTTTATTATTATATATGTCATATGGGGTTTCGGAATCCGTGGGGATTCGGAATCTCTCAATTTTAAATCATTTACTAATGGCGATTTTTGGATTTTAAAAATCTGATTTTACAGGAATTGTATTCCAGCATGTGTAGAGTATTTACCCTATAAATTTCAGCCAATTTCAGCTATAGACATTTTTGTTTTTTATAATTTATATGAAAAATCCATATAAAAATTAATATAAATTAGAAGTAGTTCTAAAGTTCATGGCAATATTGTTTGAAATTTACAGTTAGGGTACTCTACCCATGCTAGAATACATTTCCGGTTAAATCGGACTTTAAAATTTTTTAAATGACTCTCGGTAAAGGATTTAAAATCAAGATATTCCGAATCCCCACGGATTCCGAATCCCAATACGACATATATATTATTTTACAATGAAAATGTAATTCTTCGCATTAAATTACAAATTTTAGTATTTACAAATGTCATTGAAAGTTTTTACTTTTTATTATTTGTAATAAATGCTTTAATGTAATGTATGAGTAGTGAAGGAGTAGAATTTATAATATTATATTAATATATAATAAGTATTTCTTTATTAACAATTAAACTCAAAGATCTAGAGTACTATTAGACCCAACAAAATACAACAACC